ACATGCACACACACACACACACAAACAACAAATCGTTCCTGGACATCTGAGCAGTTTGCGCAGTACCCCGCACAGCTGCGGACCTCTGAGGGATCATCAACCGTACGTTCCTCTTCCTGTATCTTGTGACTCAGCCAGCCGCGAAGTTTTCAAGCACCTGGTGACGGCCAAACGGGCCAAAGAGGACAGAAAATCAAACATCAAGGGATGGGTCACACAGTTTTTAAAGTGCTTGTGGCAAGAGAGGCTAGGAAAAACATCTTCACACCCAGCGACAACTTGAATGTTGGATCCTTATGGCCTAGAGCTTCTGCGGTTTTGGGGACTGGTGGCCCGACATCTTGTTTGCATCATCTCGACAAAATGACATGACTTGATTTGCCATGCTGCAGTGTGATTTGGGCTTTGCTTGGCAAAGCCTGGACCTTATCATCGAAAATTCTCAGAGGAAGTCTCATGCTGGAAAATCCTCATCTGGCAAACCGGCGTCAGCTCTCACATTAATGAGGAAAAATGCTGCTCACGTGGCGCCTCGGCCTTAATGCCGTACGAGTTCTGTGGCCCCCATCCACTGGGCCTCGTGGATGCTTAGCATTCGCAACAGAAAATCATCGATGGATCTTGGGGCAACTGCGGGTCATCGCCTTTGCCCAGGCCAACGCCGGCATTGGCCTTCTGCCACGGCACCTTTGAAGTGAGATCGGCTAGGTACACCTTGTGACGGATTCATTCCACACAGCCCAAAGCACGAAGTACTCTAGCTGAAGGAGCTACATGTGGCGGATGCATTTGAACTCAAGCACGTCCGTCCCTTGTCTTACAAGATCATTGACGTGCAGATTTAGATGCCTTGGTAACCAGGTTTTCTTCAGAAGTATACAGTATGACCCGCCATGTTCCAGCTGCACAAATGAATACACTGAGATTGGCACGGGGTGATGTGCACGGAAAAACTGCTGGATGTCCTTGGTTCGACTACCCTCATCTAAGCGGAGATACCAAGCCAGCCATGGTGACCGCACTGCAACAATGAGAAAATGACGCCATTGTGTTCTTTGAGCACCTTGGACAAGTTGGAGGAATCGGGAACCTGAGGCAAATGATTGCAACACCCTTGGTAATCCCCCGGCAACATGACGTGTCAGCACTTTGCGAGTTCTGGAGACAACAGGGGACGTGGCGAAGTCGATAAGTCCATCGTTGCGAGAAAGCGCCTGCACTGTCGACAGTCCAGAGTAACAAATGTCATAGACAGATGGCGTTTGAGGTTGGAGCAATGACTTGATAAGGTGTCAACTGAAGGTCCAGACCTCACATGCCCCCTCCACAACAAAGTCTGCAACAAGCGAAGCAGTTGCCGAGTTCGCAGAGCTCGCCGAGGTGCCATATCTCTTGAGGATCGAATCCATCAGGATGATCAGCTGAAGGACTAGCCTTGGGTGACCAGCAATCCTGAAAACACACAAAATTACCCAGCGGCTGTATTCTGACAACCCATGTCCTGACATGTCCTAACACTCATGACGGAGTTCCCATCAGGTCGGCCGTGCTCTAAAACTTGCTAGAGGGGTGGGTGTCTGTAAATGTGCACCGAAAGTGCATGAACTTGCCACGGCTGACGGGACCTTCAGGACACGAATTCGGGGAGTGCCTGCCGACATTCGGCGCGCAATTTCCGAGGACGCTCAAATTCGGGAAACAAATTCGAGGCACGGGCGCGGACATGAGGACGCAGAGGCAATGCATTTCAGCAGACAAACAGGGACAATTCGGGAAACAAGGTATGACAATTCGGACGACGATCTGTCCGCCCCGCCGCCTGCCCACCTAAACCCTAAACTTAAAGACTGTTTCCCCGAAACCCTGAAACCCAAACCGCACCGTAAGCCGTGATCCCCCTTAATTAACCCTAAACCCTTATCTCCCTGATCCCCAAATCCTACACCCTAAACACTAATCCCCCCAAAACCCGACTCAAAGACCCAAACCCTACACCGTAAACCGTAAACCCCAATCCCATGAACCGAACATCTTCAGAGGCTTTACAACCAGAAGCGCCTGTAAACCAGAACCTGATCGCAAATGTTTCCCGTATTTTCCAAACAAGTTTTGTGAATCTCTCCAGATTCCTGAGTTTCCTCTTGGTGTTCTTGAATTGGCGCGCCTGCTAGTCCTCAAATCCTGGATTTCCGGACGGTTTCCTGAGTTCTCTTCCTGAACTTTGAGAATGTTTCCTGAATGTCGTTATGTTCAACTTGGGGCACCCTTGCCTATGAGGCGACGACTGGTCTTGCCGCAGATCATCACCCTCCTTGACCATGACCTGATGATGAAAACATGACTCCACACCCACAAAACTGCTTGAAGCTAGAGGCACACACCCTTTTGATGGTGCGTGGCCCTTGGGGATTTGACGATGGGCGGACCTTGTAAGCACCGTCAATGGAGCAGTGCAATAAGATCCCAGCTCAAGAGCATGAAGTTATATTTGTTTTTTCCACTTGGCTGGCTTGCAGCCCTGCCTGACAGGCGAGCACCCCTGGATTCATCGCCGATTTCAGCAAGAAGCACCTTAGCTTTTTTTCCGGGCAATATTCATCACCAACCCGCGTCATGACTCGGGCAGATGCTCGTCTGGAACGATTCCAACCTCAGCCAGCACAACAGCAAATGGACTGACAACCTGGTGAAGACCCTCCACCTCATGAAGCTGAGCCATTTGCAAGAGAAACGGAAGGATCCACCGGCAGTGGGATGCCTTCCTTCAGCCTCAGCCAGGCTACGCATGGGGGAGCCTGTGAAAAGCTGAACCTCCGAGGCCCCTGCCCATGAACCAGATCAAGCTCTTGAAAAGACTCCTTCTTACTAGCGGTTATGGAGTGGAGGGATCCCTGAAGCATTACCTTTAGAGCAATACTGCCTGATAACCCATTTACCAACCACAGCGTAAGCCCTTTTGAGCCACCTGGTCTGGGCTTGGCATGTTAAAAGTCCTCTCCAGCCAGTGGTTCGGTAGCAACCAGCGCTTGCCGGAAGCGTTCGATCTGCGCTAAGAGTAAGAATAAAGTGGTAACCATTGTGACAACAGAAATAGCTGTAAAAATCAGTGATAGTAGCAGTAGCAGTAAATGGACAGCCACTGTGTCACCCACGTTCCTCAGGAACCCTTTGCACACTCACCATCTCCTGTCCACTCTGAGTATTTTTTCAGACGTGCTGTGCCTTCTTCTCGATTCTGTCCCGCTTACCCTGTCAAAGGATACAGTGAGGTCGAATTATTTGTCAAGATGTGAGCATATGTGAGCTGTGTGACATCTACGTGAAGCCTTAGCAAATTGCAGACTCCAGAGCAGCTTCTTCCGGAGCCTCTCCTCGCACCGCATCAAAGGCTTAACGCTTTCCAGGATGCTATGATGATCATGATGATGAGTCCTGCTGCTCCAGGAGGTGCCTGGTGGCTCCAGACTCAGGAGATTCCTGTGACCTCAGCGCCTCCAGAAGGTGCCGCCGCACCTTAGCGCATGTCAGGAGATGATGGCATGCAGATTAGATACTTGTGGAGCTGTGGGGTGCACCATGTCAAAGTGGCCACCGGACTCTCCCTCGTCGATTTCAGCCTTCCGGGCAGCAAAGCGCTGCAGCCACACAGCAGATTGGAGGGAAAATTGCCAGGCAAGAAGCCACCACATACCAGTAGAGCAGTGTGGCCAGGGAAGGGCAGCTGACAGCCCTGCGAATGAGGAACCTCGGCTTCATGCCGATACGCTTTGCCATTTTTCCCGGCAGCAGCATGCTGTGTCCACTGAGGCGGACACCCCGCCAAGGCCTACAACAGGGAACTCTAAGAGAAGTTGCCCCAATTATTGAGAACTTAACATGAAAATTACTGAGAAGTTAAGGCATGAGACATCAAGAAGCCAACTCATGACCTCGTAACTCGGCGACGCTTGGATGTGCTGGCTTAACATGGACACATCGCATCTCCTCTGGATGCAGTCAACAAATGTTCCTTGCGGGCATTTTGAATCCTTCCATAAGGACTTCTGCAGGCGAAACCAATAGAAAGCCTGTACAGTTTCTGCAGACAGTTCGAGCAGGTCTCTGCGCCTTGAACATGGTGTCAAAGGTCTGAGCTCGACTAGTCCGTGGCTCAAAAGAAGGTCGTCAAAGGCCGCAGGCTTCAGAAATGGGATGCAAGGAGCCGAAAAAAGAACAGTGAACCACGTACGTATTCAAAGGTACGCGTTGAAACCTTAGCCCTGCCTCAGCTGCTTCAGTTACAGTGGGCGGGCTAATCTAGAAACTTGTGGCATCAGCTGTACAGCCAAGGCAAGGCGTCCGCAGAGCGCCGGCACCTCGGCGCCAGTTCCTCCAGGAAACGCGGATGCCCTTCTGTGCCATTGGATGCGTTCAGCCTCTTTTGGCCTGCAGCAAACCAGAATGCATGCCTCAGCTGTAAGCGGTGCACGGTCTCATGCGCGGTGACTGATTCAGAGTCCCAACCGGCCAACGTGCCAAGTCTCCGAAGGGCAAGTGGCTCAAGAGCGCCACTCCTGTGTGAAGCTTCGGATCAACGGCCTCTGGAAGGTGGCTCCTTGGCACGGATAAGGCACATAAGCGCAAAAGCTTGTGCGGCTTGTGCGTAAGGTCTGAATTTCAGTATGAACGAGGTAATTTCTCCTACAGTATCCCGCCAAGTCACAGCGGCGTTGGCACTGAGTCAGAGATTTCCTGTAGAGCCCAGGTCTTCAAGGTTCTCTTGAAAGAAAAGAACTCTCACGACTTTGCAGTGCGTACCTGGCCCTCGACATCTTCAGCTTCCGAGGATAAGGATGCACCCTCCTCCAGAAACTGGGAGCTGCTCACACAAGATCACACAACCTGAGGCTTGTCCTCCTCTTGTGAGCTGGCGGAACTGGCTGCAGTTTGAACGGAGGATCGCTCCTGCACTTAGCACTGCATGAAATATCAAGCTGAAAACATGTTCCGGCGCCGTGCATCAGACTGCCGCGTTTATGAGGAGAGAGATGCGTCCCATGATGTGCTCTTCTGGCCACGAGCCGGTCCTCGGCTTCCCTTTGCTTCTGCTGCTTTAGCTTGATTGCCTCGAAGATCTTGGTGCACTCCACGAGGCGCTCCAGGTGCAGAGCCTGCACCAGGCAGCAGCGGCAGCAGCGCCAGCTTCAAGACCCGTTTGGTGGACAGATATGGAACCATGCCGTGTGCAGCCTCAAGCTCTTTGTAGCGCTTGTCGTACTCACCCTGCAGCTTCTTGTGCTTCATCATTAACGACTGATAGCGTTCCTTCCATGAATCAATGGCCTGCACGAAGCCCAATTCTGTCAGTCTAGTCTTTCCACACAAGAAGAGCTACATGAGCCACCTCCTCTGCCAAGGAGAGCTTCTGATTACGCTGCTGTATATCGTCTTCAAGATAGGCACATCGAACTGTTTGCTTGGAAAGTTTGCTTTCCAGCTCGGGCCTTTGATTGCAGCTTGTTTCATGCTGGGTGACACCGCAAAACAAGCTGACCCTTTATCTCCAGCCCAGGAGCACCCTTGTGCCGTGTGATAGAGACTGGATTATGTCCAGCATGTTCTTGACCTGTTCCTCCGCCGTCTGCCTGGCTATAGTCATTGCCACAGCAAACTGACGAAACTTTAACAATCAGGCAATTCTAGTTCATAACATCCGGAAGAATGGTGCTGGGCAGACCTGCGCTCTCGTTCTTCCTGAAGCTTCTCTTCAAGCACTTCAGTCGCGTAACGCTGCTCCACCAAGATCTCCATGCACCGCAGATGGCCTGAGAGCAAAACTGGTGCACATGGGTTTGAAGCAAACCAAACCCATTCTTGAAGCCAAATCCTCTCACGATTTGCCACTAGATGCAAGAAAGCCGTTCATGTTCAATCAAGTACCTCAAAGCAACTTGACAAAACAAACAAGCGGCGGGATCGCAAAGCGGATGTGGGGTCCAGCTCCTCTGGTTTCAAAAGCAACTCGCCGGGGCCCTGCTCCAGGTCGTGGGCTGAAGCAAGGTGGTGAATGGCTTCTGCCTCTGGGCCCTGAGTTGATGGGCTGATGCCCACGCCGCCCACGCCCACTCTGCTGCAACGCATGGCACTGCAAAAGCATGACTGAGGCAGGGCACGCCCGCTCGTTCATCTACTGCCGGAAGATTCAGGCCTTCTGGCTCGCCAGGCTCTGCCGTGAAGGTGAAAGCAGGAGACTCACTTCCACAGACTCCATTTTCTGACTCAGGGTTCTTGTCAGACAGCTCAGCCGTCGTCCTGATAAGGCACAGCAACCTACAACGTGAAGGCATGCTGGTTGAGACCGTTAAGGGATTCGACAACGATCAGAAGACGAGGCGCTTGAGTTGCGAAGGCAACTCAGTGGGAGCGACAGCCTCACCGTCGGTCTCCAGACCACGGCACATGGCTATGGCAGGAAGACTCAGGATCAAGTTAGGGCCACAAAACAGACTTTACAAATCTTGGGCCTAAATGCCTAGCTCAAAACAGGTTCAAGAATGTCGCCAAAATGCAAGCATTATCAAAGAACAAAGCCACAAAGCCGCGAACGCAATAGAAGCCATGACAAAAAGAATCGAAACAAATTCCAAATGTGGAACTGCTGGTCCAAACACAAGCATTGCCTCGCCACCTCGACCACCTTCAGCCTAAGCGCAAGGCATGTAGGATCAGAACTTATGTCCACTCCATCATGGCAAACCGCTGGATTTCATGGTGACAAAGCTATTAGGCTCTCTAGGTTTCTTGGCCGAATGTTTTCGTTCACATTTACGGGTTTGATGGCTGTCCGACGCGTCCAGGACTTGAGCCCAAGTCAAACCCATTCTCAATTGAAAATTTCAAACTTCAACAGTTCAACCCAAACCGACACAGCTCTTCAGACAGATGTTGCTCCACTTAATGCATCTGCGCTACTTACCTTTGATGCTGGTCCTGATTGCAGGAGCCCTAGATAGTCCTAGTAAAGCCCCAAGAATGAGAATCGCAAGATTAAGAATAAATGGCAATCATTGCAGTTGCAGCAACTACAACAACAGTGGCGACTGATCATGAAGATGATCAAGAGGATGATGAAGGTGCTTGTCACTGAGGTATGATGACCTAAGGACTGCGCCTCACTCTCATGCATGGCATCCAAAGGCTCGTAGCGTAGCGCCTTTCAAAAAGATGTGCTAACATTTGGGGGCAGACTGGATGGTCAGAGGACATTGAGGGGGGTAAGAATTCTTTGGAGGCCCTGCGTCCTTTGCCTGAAATTAGGGGGGTTGGGTCCCAAGCGCCAAGCCTGGTGGCCAATGGTGCAGCTCAACTGTCTGGGCCCAACCCGTGCGGTGGGGAGATTTACTCACAGTGCTGCAGCACATGCGCAAAATTGCGCCATCGACGCAACATAGCCAAACAAATTTCTCTGGCATTTTGACGCTCTCTTTCTCCATGCCACGGTGATCTCATTTTCCATGACGTCTGACAGCCGCAATTACCGACTCATAACAGGTAAGTACAAGAATGGCACAAAGACAAGGAAGAGCACAGTTTGCGGTGTCCCTTCTTCTTTGGGCCAAATCATGTTCAATTGTCCACCGACGTCTAGGTACAAACTGCTACGGTGATCACTGGGTAAAAAATGTCAAAGGGGCGCGCTTTAACAACTACCCCCTGTTGGACCTAGAAACGTCGAAGCATCGGGGACATCTACTCCTAGGTTGGTCAGTGCAGAAACAATCAGTCCCTGCACTGGCGCTCACCCTTTTTGCTGCAAGCACGCTGAATGCTTGAGCCACCGTAGTGGCGGTGCAGGTCGAACCTGTTGGTGCCGCGTGCCGGTTCAGCCATGTCTAATGCACAGCTTTCACTCCCGTAATTTTTTTTTTTTTACAGGTTCAGACCCTTCCAGAAGGCTTCTTGGAAGTCCTGTCACGATGAACAGCAAGCCATCCGATCTCCATCAACTTCAGGAGCTGAGGGCACCGCATCCTCTTGGTGAGCGCATCGGAAACCATCGAGTGGGTTTCGATCCATTCCGGCCTTGTGGTACTCTCCAGTGGAACGGAGTCCCCGTACAAGGGGTCTCCAAGCAGCTCACCATGCTGTAGAGCGTAGAGCACTGTGCGGAAATGCTCCGCCTCCTCGTGGCCTTGAATCATGGATAGCGTCTCTGCCTGCAGGGTCGATCGGCAAACTCTCCGCAGCACATTCGACATGTACTCCAAGGGGTAGACGGTTCCTTTGCCGCTTTCCATGAAGTCCTTGGGGGCAAGACGCAACATGCATCCTTACTGGGATCTGTTTCCCATTGGCTGTCCAGAGGCGGAATTGTCGTAGTCGGCTGCGTAGGATGTGTCCGTGATCGAGAGAATCACCGAGTCCTCAAACTTGAGAACGTCGTAGGCGTAGAAGAGGCCCCCATCCGGGGACTGCTGGATGTAGTAGAGCAACTTGTTGCAGTCAAGCAAGTCCTGGACAACCGCTTTCTTCTGCACGGATTGAAGCGCCGACAGCTCGTAGGAGATGCCGGGTCGGCATACCCTTGACACTTGACACCCAGTTCAAAGAACCCAAGACACTTCTGAGCCGGTTGACCTCGTTGTCTGTGGCAGGATGGTCCCGTTGGGTCCGGCGATGAGGCGTCATGAAGATTGGCCAAACTTTCGAGGCAGTGCGGAGACAGGTCACGCGGATCCCCTCATTGGTCTGCTGGATTTTACGTCCGCAATATGTAAAATCTCCCTTCTCCAAGGCACCGAATTTGAGTTCACCTTGAATGGCTTCCATCGCAGCTTGCATCTCGGGCCGGCCTGCCCAAGGGCTATCATCCACATGTGATATCACAAGTCCCTCAATCGAACCATCACTGCCCCTCATGACGTAAGCAGCTGGTTCAAAGGGGATGGCCGGCAGCCCATGCTCCAGCATGGTATTACGCAGCTTCTTCCAGAAGCCACGAGGTGCATCCCGTGCGCCGCACACAGGTTTCCTCGCTATCAGCAAGGATGCCTCCTCCACACCTTCCACACCATCCTTCGGCAAGGAGTGTCGGAGAGTCAGCGCGGATGGTCTCGTCACTCTCGAGGTCTCCTTGCGCAACAAGACGTGCTTTTCGGCGGCCTTCCTCCCACGGCTGGGATTTGGGGCTGTCCACCCACCTTGTAGGGAGAACTTCAACGTCGGGGTTGTCGGCGAGGAATTCCTTTGCCTCGGCAGGGTTCAGCACAGTAGTCGCCTCGAAGTTGGTCCAGTTTGCCTGGCCCGAGCCTTCATCATCTTTGCCCGTCTCTTTGGAGTCGACTTGTTCAGGCTCAACTCTTTCGCCCTCGCTGCAGACTTCTTGACCATGCGACGGGCCAGGAAACCAAGAAAGGCTCGTCCATGACTCCGAAACGTGGTTCTCGAACTGGAGATCGAGATCGATCAGTAGATGCCCTCGGTGTAGCGCGAGAAGTAGGAGCTGGAAGTCCATCCAGACGTTCTGTGGACTGACGCAGCGCTCGCTGAAGATCAGTCATGGTCGCCAGCAGGCGTCGAAGTCGTCATTGGTGTCTCTGATGAACTAACTGGTTCTCCAAAGGCTTGCCCTCCAGCAGGCGTCGACGGCGTCGAAGTCGTAATTGGTGTCTCCGATGTCCGTCGACTTCCCACAAAGTCGAAGGATTCCTCGCTCGTCAACCGCGGCGTCGTTCTCGGAAGCGGCCCCGAACTCGACCTCAGGAACTGGAGGTGTAGCAGATGTTGTGGAGGCCAAGGATCCAGAGGCATCGGAGCATCCAAACCAGGTAGTGGACCAACGCCGATGTCAGCGGGAGGTTGGCAGGCCGGTCAGGAAGGGAAGCTGTTGAGGTTCACCAAGTCCTCTGGCTCCAGTTGGAACCCCGACCAAATTCTCGAAACGGATAGTCCAAAGCTCCATATCTCGGCGACGCTTCCTGGAAGGTCTCAGCTCCAGCTCGCGCTTAGACAGCGCTTCCTTCCCTGTGGCACGCCTCAAAGATTCCATCAAGGCTGTCATGGGCACTCCGGTCCGGACAAGCCACTCAGAGCCCAGGACTCTTGCAAGTCCTATCCACCGGCCTCCGTTGGTGCAGTTTCTTTTCTCGTGCTGCCTGAAGGAAGATAAGGGCCGCCTTGGGGAACACTGCGTCGAAGTAGCGCTGCTCTCACTTGCTGGCTTCCATCCACATGGTCTCTGGCCTCTTCATGGGTTCCAAGGTAGCGCGCGGAGTCCTCGGCCGTGAGCAAGTCCACCTCCAATGGTAGCTTTCCAAGGATCCACTGAGGAGGTGTGAACCGATCCTGTTGTTCTTTATGAAGGTAGGCACATGTTGCGAAGTCCAGCAATCTGGCAAGATTCAATCACATGTTGAAGGATCTGCTTGAGTATCCCCCCTTGCCTTTCGCATCAACCTAGCTCGCGAGGAGCCTTGTGGGCTCCACGGTCCAGATGATAGACCATGGTTGGTCCTGCCCACCCAAGCCATCCTTCGAAGAGAGCACTCACGCAGGCTCGTGATGATGGGGCTCCTCTAGTAGGGGAAACGATCTGCGCGACTCGCGACATGGTAAAGCGTGCCCACGCAGACCATGGAGAAAACCGTGTAGCGTCCTCCACCCACATCCTTGATTTCAAAGCAATCCACCGCCAGCTCGACACTGAACCTGTAGGAACCGGAAGTACGGCCGTCTTTACTGCGCAGGCAGCACAATGGAAGTCAGGCAGAGCTCGAATGACTTCAGGATCACCTCCAGCTGTTCGAAGAAGGCGTTGCATCGAACTCACTGATGCAATCGTCTCCATCTCTGGCCCTATTCTGTCGAAGGGGCTCTGCTTCCAAGGATTCGGCTTCGGGATTGACCTGCTCCTCGTTCGCCAGGCCCTGCTTGTCAGAACGCGTCCTTGCGTTGCTCCGGTCACCAGGTCGTTGTCGTCAAGGATGGCGTCTAAGGTGTCCATGTTGCGGTCGGCTCCGCGCACCTCTAGCAACTGCAGATTGCGTCACATTCTCTGACGAACTAGTCATTCTCACCACCATTACCTTTACCTACCTCTCTACCTGTCATTGCCGGAACCTGGCCTGGCATGGAAGAAAACGGGGCCTGCAGTGAAGACAAGTCTGCACGGGACATGGACATGTTTGTTCACTGAAGCGTCTCACTAACTGCTTGCATTTGGAGGTTGGGTGAGGTTTTGCTTGGCTTGAGAAGTTTGACGCTTGGGCTTGATGAAGCAACGCAGACGGTGGCAAATGTCCCCAGATCCCAGAGGCAGCGTAACCTCGTACCTCACGGTTTGTATCCGGCCTACCGTGAAAGTGGATCAAGCGCCTAGCGCCAAGACGCGATTCTGTCCACGCGCCCAACTGCCTGCACGCTTTCCCCTCTCTTCCAATAAGATGTCGTATGAAATAGGCAA